TGACGTCCCAGAGCGGCGATTGGTCTCGCCGTAGGCGTTTTCTCTCTCTCTCTCTCTCTCTCTTTCTCTCTCTCTCTCTCTCTCTCTCTCTCTCTCTCTCTCTCCCTCTTTCTTTCTCGGAGAAAGAGTTCGCGGCCCCGTGCGCTTTCTAACGAGGGGGATCAAGGCGACTTGCATTTCGGTGATTTGCTCCTGTCCCAATGTGTATAACGAGCCGATCGCCCGACTCCAAACAGGAGTGTTTGTAATGACCCGCCAACAATGCGCTCGACAGTCTCGCAAATTGTAATTTGCGACGAAACGACGAAGCGTGCTATGGCCAGACGATGATTAAAGGATAACCTCTAGTAGTCACGCTGGTAATTTATATCCCGGCTGAGATAGTTGTTTACTGAAAACACGTCGCCTAATAAGAACATAGAGTTCTCACACAACTCTCACGTACTGTGAATCGCGAGATGAATATCGCAACGTGTTCTTTTCTCTCTCGCTTTGGCGATCCAAAGCCTCGTATTCGCTTCATCAAACGTCCCTTTGTCGCATAACGGAGCCGCGATATGTCTCTTTAAAGGTGGCGGAGGAGACGTCTCGGGCTGTAGCGTGAACCAGCTTGGATAATCGAACCACGTTCTTCCCCATGGGACGATTCCCATGAAACGTAGCATCACTAACGCTCGGATAGACGCTATTGATAGATGGACAGATTATAGTTATTTACGATCGCTATCTCTATTATTGTCCTTACGCGGAACGACATCGCGGCTAATGATCGCCCCGCGGCTCACGTGGCAGCTGGTGTCCCTAGGTGCGGTCATTAATAAAACCGCCGGCGATCTTACCTACTTCCTCGCGGACGTTCACGAAGATGATGATTCCACGACCGGTGGAAATAAAGGAAATCGCCGTCTGTCGAGCAGAATCAGGCCGGCAAGGAGCGAGCAACGACAGCCGTGAACATTGACGAAGCTGCGAAGCGCCGCAAAAAGGTAGCAGCCGCCTGTCCTCCGCTCCCTTAACGAAGCAGGTAGAATGGCTCGCGCGCGGAATTGGGTGGGGCTGTTTTGCGAAGTGGACGCGAGTGATAGGACACGGTCAGTGCAATTCGCCGGCGATTCCCTTCCAATTTTTAAGAGCGGGTTTCAGTAACGGAACGATTATAATCGTCGTCATTGTCAGCTACCGCGTTACGTTGGCCGACTGATGAGCGGTTTAATTATTGCAAAACTATCGGGTGATCAGCAGCACCGGCGATAATTAAATAAGATGAGATGATATGTTAACGGCAGGAAGGCATAAACAACTTGGTTAGCATCGGCGGAACTAGTAGTTGGTAAGTCGCGCTGATATTATTCGGGCTATGAAGGCCATTGATATACGGACGGATAATTAATACAAAAAGGAAAGAAAGCGGATCAGATTCTCCCGTAATTTACAATGTTCTCCGTTAGGCGAGGCTCCCTCGACCAACTGATCGCGCCGATAAAAATGTTGATTTGTGCTGTGCGCGATAACCTACGTCAGGAAGTTCATTCCTATGCATCACACGCTCGTTGTCTATTATTTCATCAAACGACGTTAATGAATATACTAATTCACGCTGAGCGAAACAACTTGATTAAAATATCTCGCTTTGTTTCAACGTCAAAACATGAGCTTCTTTGGTAGCGCATAATTAAATATTTTTTAATTTATCGTTACATTTTCTTTTCAATTAATCTGTTTTGAATATAACAGTGAAACATCGTCAATCCTATGATGGATACGTGATTTTCACAAAATGTCCAAAAGATTTGACAAATTTAAAAAAATGCACAAACAATTGTCACATTCTTCATCTAATATAACTTTACTTAAAAATATCAACATATCCAAACAAGATAATAATTATAGTAATAAAAAAAATCAGCGAGAAATTGGAAACTTCGCAGGGTAGTACACAATTCAAATATCCATTTCAAGAAACTAAAAACTGCGAATTTTCCATTCGCGATTATATCAGAGCCGTTAAAGGGAACATTCATCGTCAGCATTCCGTGGTCGTATACTTTACATCGTCGTTGTCGAACAGAACGAAAGACGTGTTTCTTTAGGCGTGAACGGCGGCTCGAGTTGTCTTCGTCAATTACCGCGCGAAACACCTGACTTGTCGCGTGCAAACTACATCGGCGTCACCGACTAGGCGGATTTCGTTAGTGGCTTTAATTGCGAGCGTTTTAACGACGATTCCTTATGCGTCTTGCGTGCTTCTAATGAGCGGTCTCGCGCCGTCTCATGTCAGGACCGAGGAACACACTCCGACGCAGCAGGAGCATTAGACGTTAAAGAGTTAATAGCCGTAATTTTGTTCCGTCGATTAACGAGCGAGCATATCGTCGTCGCTGATTCACGTGATGATCCTACCAGCAAGCCCCGAAAGCGCCGGTCAAGGAATGAAAAAAAGTTGTCGAATGTGTGTATGCATGTGTGTGTGTGTGTGTGCGTGCGTGCGTGCGTGCGTGTGTGCGTGCGCGTGTGTGCGTGCGTGTGTGTGTGTGTATGAAATCGATTTAGCTCTGGACGGTCCACGTTAAATCGAAAGGATATGGAATAGAATACGAGAATAGAATCACTACAACTATCGATCATCCAAGAAAGCGTATTAGTGAATACTCTGCTTCATAGTGTGCTCCATAGTGCGCAACTCTTTCAACTTTGCAACTACCCAAACATCAAGCTGCGTGTGGAAGGTACATTACACAGTAATCGGATTGCCAGGTCACGCGCGGGGCTCAACAAAAGGGATTGGATCAAGCTGCCCTTTTAACTTTCTAAGTGTGCACAAAACATCGATACGATTGAGCGATCTAGAAATGAACAACACCGAAATGGATGTGAAGGTGAGAAGAACCAGATATATACGACGTACGTAGACAATGCACAGAGTGAGACTAACGGGAGAGGTTGTTGGAGGTGGAACAAAGGGAGAGGGAGCAGCATCTGCAGTGGGGTGGATAATACATTTGTTCGTTAACCGTCGCGAAGCCGTCGGACCCGAAAAAAGGGAGAACAAGAGAGGGTCATGGCTGATGGTGTTCGTGCAAATTTTTGTATGAAGCGATTCCGACGCCCGACGATAAAATCCACGTCGCGCTCGAGGAATAGGGCGGTAGGGCCCACGGAGGGGAATAAGTGAGTGAGTGAGTGAGTGAGTGAGTGAGTGAGTGAGTGAGTGAGTGAGTGAGTGAGTGAGTGAGTGAGTGAGTGAGAGAGAGAGAGAGAGAGAGAGAGAGAGAGAGAGAGAGAGAGAGAGAGAGAGAGAGAGAGAGAGAAGGGGAGAGGGAGAGCGAGAGAAAGAGAGTGAGCTCGTCGGCTCGAAGAAACGAATTAGCTGGCTTCAGCCTGATCGGGTCGACAGCACGGTGGGGAGGAACAAAAGTATGGAGTAGTGGGTAAAATCGAGTGGAAGGGATGGCAGAGTAGGCGTGTCCTAGAGGAGGGACGAGGATAAAAGGGGATGGGCGAGACCTGAAAGCTCTGCACGTAGTGGGGGAAGCTGAAATGGGGCGGAGAGAAGTGGATATTCTCGTTATTGTGTTCGCAGTGGCGCGGATATCCATACATTCTCGGTGTGTCCATTGTGAAATGGACCGTGAATCTCTAAACAAAATCCGGTATGGCGTAAGGCAGCTTGCGACGTCTTGCGACATATGAATAAAATCGTGTACCTATTAGTTTCGTTTTGTAGTGGTTAACCAGGCACTCTACAGAATCAGGGAAACCTCTTTCGACTGGTATTGTCATCACTAGTACTACAAATTACGGACTTTTTCTTCTACGACTTTTCTAACACGAATAACTATGCGTCATTGTTTGGACAGGTCAAAATAAGCGGCTTACTTCTGGACCCTCTGGCATCTTCTCGGCGACCTTTTCGGCATTCAACTTTGTTTGACTCCGATTTGACCAAACAGTCGATTCTTGAAAAGGTCTATACTATATTCTTGGTTCACTAATCGGCCGATTTTGGCGGGCAGACCCTGGAGAGAGAAAGACGTGCTTTTCGAGACACAAGGTACCTGGAGCACCAGAGGAAGCCAACGTCTGCAACATTGATCCGTGGCAAATTCGTGGCGCAGTCCCCTACTACCGGTACCACTGGCGGTGGGGATACCGACTGGGAGAGGAAGGGGAGCACACCTTACGCGAGTGGGCGGAGCTTTTGACCGAAGAGTTAATAGAGATACAATCGAGGGTGTCTAGTGCACTGCACTCCGGACTGCGGCGTAGGAGGAGAGAAGGGACAAGGGTGAGGTGAGGAGGGACAGGCGGTAAGTAGGGACCCCGGGTCCCCTAGTTTAGACATCACTGAGCGACGGATGGACAGCCAGTCAGACCCGTCACAGCACTCGCCGGAGTACTCGGAAACCTCGGGAAAAGCCGATACCGAGAGAGTCTTCGGTTTGGACCGGCTCCAAAGACGAGCCAATAATTAACGCGCCGCTCTCATACCGTGCCGCTGGTACGGTCACGGGGGCTCACTTTTTTGCGATACGTACGCTACGGTACTGGTACGCGCAAGTGGACCCGATGAAGCCGATGAGGAAGACGGCGAAGCACCGGAAGAAAAGAACGTTCTCTCGTACAGTGACTCGCGGCAAGCCCTGAGGAATGTAGTACAGAAACGACGCGTTTCCTTCAGACTTTAGTGGCACGTGGTACACAGTGTTTACTTCGAATACGGTTCCGTAAAAGAGACCTGGCGATTCACGGAGAGTTGCGTCGTCGTGCTATCTTGACAGTTATCTGGTCTATGCGCAAGACGGTTCGCGTGACAAAAGTGGACAACGAAGCCGGCAACATGTTCTTTCTCTTCCTCTCTCCCACGAGAATAAACACGAAGACTTAGTGCGTCGTTATCGGGGTTATTCCCGTTATCAGACTAGTGTAAGACACGAGACAGAAAAAGAAAGAGAGAGGCAGAGGCAGAGGGAGAGGGAGAGGGAGAGGGGGAGAAGGGGAGAGAGAGAGAGAGAGAGAGAGAGACATTTACAGGGTGGAAAGCGGATATTTCAGTGGAATGGACATACTTGCGCCGTTCATGTTAATCTTACGTGATTTTCCACTTATGATGGGCGGCCAACACCCTTATAATCCTCATCTCTATCAGCCTCCCAACATACTCTCGCCTGCGAATCGTATGCTACCACATCAGGAGAATCAACCACCGGATGACGGCGATAATCCAGACACTGATACGCCGTTACGTTTCAGTGTAAGTAACATCCTCAAGCCGGATTTCGGTCTTAAAGCCATTCTCACCTCAAAGGGGTCGAAACAAACGGTCGCGAAGTTTAGCAACGGACACGCTGCATCGAACGGCCACGTACAGACCTCGAGTAGCAGTCCACTTTCGCTACCACGCGACCTGAGCTTACCGTCCACGCGGCTGTCACCGCAATCACCGAATGCTACAAATTACGCAACCCGAGACAATAGGGATACTTTCTCGTCCCACTGTGGATTGGCGTCGCCGTTGCAGAGGCACAATTCGGCAGGACTCAGCAGGAGCGGCAGCGTAGAAAGCCTCGCGTCCAACAGGAGTACGGCCACCAGCAGCTCAGTTACCGGACCGTCATCCCTTTGCTCCGCGTCATCTACCGTTAGCGGCGAGTCGTTAAACGGCGAAAGTGCACAGTCCGGTAGTAACGGTGGAACCCCAGCGACCCAGCAGAACACCACCAACGGGCAGTGCCAGTGGCCCGCTTGGGTGTATTGCACCAGATATTCGGACAGACCGTCTTCTGGTAAGTGAAAAATGCGCACTTTCGCGCGCCTTCTTCGCGCCCTCAAGTCGGGATCAAGTTTCGATCAAGAATTGATACGCGAGAGTGGCGCTCACGAGTGCGTGCAAACGTGAATGGCGCGACGTGCAATTCCTGCCTGTCATGACAAGTCACGGCGACTTGAGAACAAAAAACTGCAGTAAAAACGTCTACTTGTGTCATCCCGGTATCGATCAGATATATTGCATCTTTTTACCGAGTTCTTGCACGTCCGTGCGTCTTTGTTCGCGTATTTACCTCGACTATGATTACATGCCAACGTCGTGATCGTCTGTTTCGAGCATCGTGCTTGAACGATCTCTCTCTCTCTCTCTCTCTCTCTCTCTCTCTCTCTCTCTCTCTCTCTCTCTCTCTCTCTCTCTCTTTCTCGTACCGTTATAAGAACTCGACGTCATGTGATTTTTCTAACATGTTAATATCCGTCTCGCGAGCTATTCTATCGCACTGACACACGTCCGCCAAAGTAACGTGGGAGAGGGAGTAACGTAGAATATATGGGGGAAGAGTGGGGGGTTAAATAAGGGAAGCGAAAAAGCTGAGAAATTCAATTCAGATTTTTCGTGCGCGCGGCACGTGACTTGCGTTTCAGCCGCATGCAAGAAGAACTCGCGTGGTCGCGAGACGTCGGAAATGCCTATCAAGATGTTTTGCTCGCCTATGCGCTCCATACGTACTTACAAAATCACGATCGGCCGTTAATTAAAATCCCCATCAGGACGTCTGAAAAATTACGCGGCGCGCCACGGAGATAAGCGAAATCCCTTGGCGAGTGAAGCACGTGACTCCCCGCTTCGTGGGCTTATCGCGCGGCTTTTGTAGCCGGAGGTCACGCGGACTCAGGGCGAGTCTTTGTGCGATTAAGGAGCTTACCGAGGTAATCGCCGCTTTTCGCGCGCGTAATCACGTAATCTTACTCTGCGAATCGTACTTGCGCGGTTTAGCGACTCTATTCGCCTCGACAGACGAGACGAGACGAGACGAGACGAGACGAGACGAAACGAGACGAGACGAGACAGGATGAACACGTAATGGACGAATGGAGACGAGTAATACTCGCGAGTTTGAATACCGATTATACCTGAGTGGTGGCACTCATGTGAGTTGCGTGTGAGGTATTTGGGTAACTAATCGAATATTTAGGTCCAAAAATACTCGTGTAAATTTTCCAGCATTACTCAGGTAACTTTCTGTGAGTTTGAATACTCGGCTACCGCTCAGGCACCCAAGATCCGAAAGACTCTGATGAAACCGAGTACCTGTGGTACTCGAAATAACCGGCTGCCTATAACTGACATCGTATTCGTGCATTCGATAAACTTATTCCAATGACTAATCGCCCATGTGCCAACGACGCGGACAAATCCCGATCTGTTCGCGACGCCTCGCTGACAAATGACAGCGATCTCCGCTTCGAGAGCGTCTAATTACGCGTTTTCTCATTAGAGACACGTAATCGTTCGCTCTCTACAAAATAAACGATACGATCGTCGAGACGTGCACGCGCTAATGCGCCCATCTCGCTCGATATATTAACGCGGTAAGTTATTGCGCTCTCCCGCGCGCAGGAGACGTCGCGCGGAAGGATCGCGCGAGTCGCATACGTTATATCTGACTTGAAGAAACGAGAGAGATGGAGAGAGAAAGAGAAAGAGAGAGAGAGAGAGAGAGATAAAATGAGCAGTAGAGAGCGAATCTAGGGGCTAGCTAGGCGAGAGGTTAACGTACGGCTCGATGCCACCTGCTCTGGTTCGCACAGTTTAATTGTGTAAAACCTACATTCACGAACTACTCTCCGCAATCAGTGTCCTACATTCGGACGTGTACTTCTTTCCCCCCGTCCACCCCTTCGTCCTCATTGTCGCTCCTTCCGCTGTTTTCTTCCGCTTGTCTCTATCGAGCTGCTTCGGTTCCTCGTCGAAACTGTCGCGCGCGCCTCCGCTCGATAATCGTCTCGTTAATTGCCGCGAATGATCGCTCGTCGAGCTTCATTCACGAGCGAGGATCACCGAATGCGTAGATGCGCGATGGGACAATGCAATCTTCTTTCGATTCGAACAAGGCGCATGCTTTGTGCAACGAGTTTCCGCTTCGTATCAGTTTTCGCGCAGCGCGAAATCATAGACCTCGTCGCGTAACAGCGTATTAATAAAAAAGAGATTACAGACTGAAAATCGATAGGGCAGAAATTAACGGTCGTTCAACAGCGGAGCGCGCCGCCACTCGTTACTTGTAATTGAGGCGTGCTCGGCCGATCGTGGCGGCAGGGAGAGCGCGGTTGCAATTTCTCGCGCTGCCGAAGTCGATGTTTAGCGCATTTTTAAAGCGATAATAACATTGGCAGTAACACTGACGATCGCTGCCTGCAAAATGCTCTCGGTCCAAGTTCCTCCTTTTTGCACACTTTTGTCCTGTTCCTTCTGGAAGGGGAACTGCGCGAAGGAGGCCTACGCGAGTAGTCCCTTTAGTACGTTCCTTTAGTAGCAATAATAATGAAGGTGATTATGTGTACTTTACATACGATCGATGTAATAATTACGGCGTCATAAAGATATATCCCAATATATCACAAACGACTGGAACGAGCCGGTTAACGGTTTCCACGGAGATAATAGTAATAAAATCGATAGTAACTGCAACACGCACGCAAAAGCACGCGGATGTGTACGCCGGCTAGACGATCGCGTTATCTATATAGTTAAGTAAAATATGGAAAACACGTAATGCTAATGCTCGAAACTCGCCGCCGATGAACGTTACTTTTCGATGACACACGCGATACAAGGTGATCGGCTTGCTTGTTTACGGGCCTTTAAAAGGCATACCTCGCAAAGTTCCGACCGTTGTCGCGACGAATAAGAGAGGCGAGCAACTCTCGAGACTCGATTCTTCAGACTTTCTTCTTGTTTTCCTTTTTTTTTTTTAATAATAAAAACCCAATTATTAATTATTCGCGCCAATATGATGGTGTCGCGTTTATAATTGTCGTGTCGGGAACGACATTGAGAATATAAATTAACATCGAGGGAAAGGGGGAAGAGGGAAAGGGGGAAGAGGGGAAAGAGAGAGAGAGAGAGAGAGAGAGAGAGAGAGAGAGAGGGAGGGAGAGAGAGAGAGGGGGAGAGAGAGGGAGAGGAGGGGGGAGAAAGAACGTAGATCGCGCGGAATTGAAATACAGTGCGCGCGAAGCTCGGATAGAATCTCAAGTACGACGTTCTTCCGCGGTTAATCGAACTATTTCCGTCTTCGGTAAATTCCGAAGTAGTTGATCAGATATAGTTATCCCGCGCGAGAGATGTCCTTCTCCTCCGCACGGTGTTCTCGCTCGCTCTCTCGAGTCATTGCAAAAACGCTGAATCAGAGAGCGGTGTGGACAAATTGACGAGAACTTTTTTACACCGACAATGAGTCCAACATGTTTCTGATCCTCCGCCTTGCTTCCCGGTCACGAGACGCGCCAAGATTAATGTGCAGTTCCTTTGTCCGTTTTCAGGACCGCGTACGAGGCGAGTGAAACGTTCGCAGAACGTTAAGAATAGCACGCCGGAAGAGAAGCGGCCGAGGACGGCCTTCAGCGCCGAACAACTGACGCGTTTGAAACGGGAATTCACGGAGAATCGATATCTGACAGAGAGGAGGCGGCAGCAGCTCTCGCAGGATCTGGGTCTGAACGAGGCGCAGATCAAGATCTGGTTTCAGAACAAGAGGGCGAAAATCAAGAAGGCGAGCGGTCAGAAGAATCCGTTGGCGCTTCAGCTGATGGCGCAGGGACTCTACAACCACTCCACCGTGCCGGTGGACGAGGACGGCGAGGAGATCGTAACCGGAAGGAATCCCTGAGACGCGAGCGAACTCGGATATGAAAACGAACGAGTACGAGAAGAGAGCGACAAGGTAGCGAACGATAAGCGAGTGGCGAGTTAGGGAGTACCGTTTTCGCTTAAGTATTACGCGACGATATTCCGATAACCAGTGATTAAGACTGAATACGGAAAGAAAAGAATAGAAATAAAACAAAGAACGGAGATGAAATTGATAGACATAATGTGCAATCATTAGATGTTGAATATCTCGATGGGATTTCATCATATTTATACATTTATATACTTCCTTTTTACATTTTTAGTCATATATGAATTTTTAAAAATCAAATTATTATTTACAGAACTTGGGTCCTGTCCTGGACCAGGCCCAAGTCCTGCATCTAGTGAAGGGATGTTTCATAGTACAAGTAGGAAGTGATTGTAATCACGTTTTAACTTATAGGATTGAATATATCCAAACATAATTAGAAAAAAAAAAAAAAAAAAAAAAACTAACTCGAATTAAGTATTTGAGCTACAAAATATGTGAGAAAGTATTGTGTTTCAAAATTTTATTTCAAGATCTTTGTTATTATTATAATATTACTCGAGTTTGTATGACCTCTACTTTTTTAACAATGACTTACTAAAATCAAACAACAGAACCGTAACGTGACACACCACGATCCACGAGTTTGCATACTGCTTTGGTTCAAGTAAAGAGTTAGTTCATATAAAGAGTTATACGTATATCAAAAGTGAAATATTAAATTGTAAAACATACGTCTGCGAAATATATACTCGTATAGCGCGTCGTATATTTACCTAGGATAATGATATTAAATATCGAATTAGCACGTAGGACTCGTGTTATATTATATTCTTGTTATTTATTTTTGTTTCTGTATATAATATGTAAATATATATTATATAAACGATATAGCTTACATTTGTGTATATGTAAGATAAATCAATAATGTAATAGACATTTTAAATCATTACAGTGTGATGCGATCTCATATTTGTGTCTATTCTTTCCTTATTATCATGTAATCTTATGTTGAATATGTAAGCAATTTTAATTATACAATTGTAGACGGTGATAAAAGTTTCAAGTGTCATATCTCAAAGTGTTATACTGTGGTAAATAATCATAATAATCTATGTAATCCCTTTATCATGATTAAATCGAAGTAAAAAGAAACTCGTCCTCCCTGTACGCGCTCCCTCCCTCCTCTCGTAGCCCCTTATCAATTATCAATTTATTGGAATTTATTAGCGCTCGTTGATATAGAAAGAGAATCTCTCAGGCCATAACGACATCGACAGATCGACATAGATAAGCGCGAGAGTTTAGAAAGTTACGCGATCTAGTACGCGGTTCAGTCGTTTTTGGCATGCATTTATTTATTTAATTATTTATTTATTTGTTCATTTATTTACTTATTCGTGAATATATTTGTGTAACTCTTCCGACAACATTAAGAAAAAAAGGGTAGGAACAAAAAAGAAAAGAAAAGAGAAGAAGAGAGACAGATACGCGAAATATAGATAAAAATAGAAACAAAAATAAAAAATAAAAATACAGAACATCTATCACACGTTTAACAAGGATGATTAATAAGAATCTCTTTTTCCCCCCATATACTCCTTTTAGTCTCGTAATTACAAACACACCGTTTCTATCGATTTCACTCTCATTGGGGAACGGTAAACTCCCCGTGAACTCTCGGGTGTCCGCTAAAGGACTGACCCGGGTGGTTAGCAAAGGCGACCGGGGGAATGACAGTACGACAGCGACTAGCTCGAGTGTGTGTTCGCGCACAGGTCTCGCAGTAACGATCGACACGAGATAAACGATATGGGCGCGCACCTGTTAGCCGATACGACGCTCCAGCGTCGCCGGGGCGCGCGAACGGATTTACGACGAGAGTGCTGTTTCTTCACGTCTCGTACAGGATATAATAAGGCTATCGACAGCCGTGCCAGGAGGGAGTAGAGATTATGCTCATGAAAAAGACAGAGGAATCGCGCGCGAGATGAAAGGGAGAAGAGCAAGCCCGAATCGCGCGCGGTAGCATTCCTCAAACGGACTTACAAGCGGTAATCGTGCGTGTATTTTTCGCATGTCGGATAATCACCGAATCCATCGTTACGATTCTCACTCGGACGACCGATCAATCATCGTGCGGCGAATTTTCATTCCAACGCAGCTCGATCGCGCGCGATTGCTTTCAGCAACAACTCGAGAGCGCCGAGACATTTATTCGCAGAGTGTTCGCACCGGACAGTCTCTTAATGACTCGCGCGTCAATTAATTACGGCGTGCTCGTGCGACTTGTACGCTCGCGCGCCAATAAAAGATGTAAATTCCAGCTGTGCGCGGCTTCGCTATCGATGCGAGTGTGCCCACGCGCTCCTATTATTATTGATCGTCATAAATTTGAATGCGCCACACGAGCGAGGATGAACGTTAATCGAGGGCGACTGACCGTCGGCGTCGCTCTGTCGTTGAGTATTTAGCATTTACGCGCGCGCTCGTCCGCGCCGGAATAATTCGACGCGAAATCGACCGTGTCCCGATCGCCATCCGTGATTCATCGTTCGCATTAGCACGCGCCACGCATTCGACGCACTCGCGTCGATAACCGCGCGCGAAAGCGACGCGCTAGAGCACGCATTCTTCACGCGCTTTCGTACGTCCGCATCGATTCTCGCGCGGAGGCTCGTAAATTCCCCCGCGCTGTCCTTTTTAATCCGTTCCCGTCTGTGTTCTCTGCTCTTCCTTTTTTATATAATTCGCCGATAATCAGCCGAGCCATATTTCACGGCTCAACCAAGGACGTCCGGCGTGCGGAGCACGGCGTTTATATTACTTATCATTAATTTAAGCGCGACGCAAACACACCCGGCTGGACCGGGGGTTGAACGGGTGGCGGAACGCACGAGCGAGCGAGTGAGCGGACGCGTGGAAGGGCAACAACGACCTCCACCGTCGTTGGAAACAAACGCGCGGATGGTGGGCCAAACCGGGGATAAATTACAGAGTCGTTGTCCTGGCCATTGTATTTAACTGCGGCGATGCGTAATTGCTGGAACGCCGTTGCATACACGCGGGAGGGCGGGCGAGAGAGAAAGAGAGGGAGAGGGAGGGAGAGGGGGAGGGGGGGAGAGAGAGAGAGAGAGAGAGAGAGAGCACTGTTGGACGCGAGCTAGGAAAGAGTGAGAAAGGGTGACGAAGGAGGTCGAGACGAAGGACGAAGGACGAGTTAGAACGCAGAGAAGGGACACAGTGTGAGGGACTATGCTTGTTGAGGGAGAGAGGACTCGGGGCACAGGGGTGAGAAGGGGTGCTTGCCGCTCTGTGGTCGAGAACCATAGTCATCGGAATGGCCATTAGAGGTCTGTACGTTCCCGCCAGTGGCTCACTAAATTTCACCTTCTTATGCCCCCGCGGACCACCTTGCGATCCACGTGAATTAATGGCTGTGGTGCCTCGCGCGCACCGTTTATTACAATATCAGCCGTTGCGGCGGAGGCGGAAGCGGAGGCGCAGACGGAGGCGCTGAGTTTCGCGTTTCATGAATTCGCAACGCACAACGCGCGCGACGAACTAGTCAACTAGTCCTCGGTTACCGCTTTTAGTTACCGAAACAACCGGTGGCCCCATGTCGTTAATTACACGCGCCGAGAAGTGTACACCCGTGGATTTTATTAGGATCCCCTCGATGAGTCGCTGGGTAAGGGAGGTCCAATTTCAATCCCGCTGCGGATATTTCGCGAAGCACCGTGGGAGAGGTTGACACGCGCGACTATTGAACATGGCAGTACATGACGTGTCACGAGTGGAATACGCCGGGCGAGATTTGGGCATTTCGGGGGAGGGGGGGGGGATTCGAAGATCGTGGGTGCGTAGAGCTTCTTGAAAATCACATCGATTGTAATTTTCTTTCTTTTATTCATCCATTTTCGATCAAACTGCACGAGGGGATGAAGGTTGCCGCTTCTCGCCATGCACGGTTGAAAATCGTGAGCGTCTTGCGCAGAGCCGTTTTCTCGGTACCTCGAAAAAAGAATCGTCGCACGCGGCGCCTGAGATCGACCGCGCTTTTCTCCGCCGCGTTTTCGTCCCTCTTCGCTAACGAGTTTAACGAGGTTCCGGCCCGTCAAATTAAAGGCGAGCGCGACGCGACCGCGGCGCGGCGCGGCGCGAGCGGCGAACCGAAATTTATCGCCGCGCTTTCGGGAAGCAAAGCCGGGTAAAGGCCACTTAGCTGTCCGTAAATGCGTCGTCCTTATGACGACGCGCGGCCAGATGGCTCGCCAATAGATCACCTTGCGCTCGCAAGAGTCGCTCCTGTTTGCGGCACCCTTAAAGGACCGCTTAAGCGAGACGCCGCAAGAAATTCGAGGCTGCTTAGCTCGCCGTGTGACAAAACGCTCGCGTTTCGCGCGCGACCGCTAGCGATAAATCGCGTCGAGTTCGCGGCCTCGTTCTCGCGATTCGGACGCGACGCGACGCGCCGATCCTTGTAATTTCATTCACGAGATGTCGTCGTCGGAAAACGCGTCCATTCATTGCGTTTCTAGACGGTATAATAAACATTTCTTTTCCTTTTCTAAACGGCACAGACGTTAAAGCAAAATTTTGCAATTCTCGCAATGAGAGAACGAAAATTTATTATCGGGCTGAGCATACAAATACAATTTTAGGTTTTTCTCGAGTAAAATGATAATTATATCCTCACGTTTAAATTTTGTGGAACAATGTATGTGAAGAATGGCAGATTATGGATGAAAATGGTGCATGTATTGCTTTATAAAATTTTGACATAAAAACACCATCGTTTCATTTTACCTGAGAAATCCGAAAAATTATTTATTACACAACGCATACATAATATTAACTTAAGGGTCTTAAGCGTGTCCGAATATATATGTTGGAAACGTAAATTTGACGAAAGACAAACTCGCACTGGTGCTTCCAGTCGATCGCGAAGATCGACGGTAAATCGCCCGGAACGCGGCGCGCAACAGATGTTCGGCGTCGAGAGCATAACGGCCGAGGAGGGCAAGGTATCGGGAAATGCCGAGAATAGAAGAATCCGGATGAAATATAAATTCCGGCTAATAAGCTCGCCCCTTTGAGGGCGCCCTCGAATCGCGCACAGTCGCGGATGCGCTGAAAGATGCGTGCCGCTGGCCGTAACCGCGTAATTGGCCAGGCAGAGAACGCGACATTAGATCCTCGTTATCCTAACGAGCCGAAATAGCGAGCGCGGCGAGAGGAGAGAGAGAGAGAGAGAGGAGAGAGGTCCGTGGCGAAAATCCGTGTAGCTCATGCGGGGAGACTTTCGACTGCGGACGGCGGCCGAAGGATGCGACATATGGTTGCTCTATTTTCGCGAATGACGGAAGAGAGAGACCGGCGGGGAAACAGGGAGAGAGAGAGAGAGAGAGGC